TATTGTTCGTACAGAGTTTCCATGCGACCTATATATATATCTTCAATCTTCCCCACGAGTTCGAGATTGGGCTACTCATTAAGTTTCAGATTGGGCCTAAAAATTGTCCGTTCAAAGTGGGTTTTGAGTCCATTTAAAACACCTTTTGGGTCTTTATCATTTCTTTCCCTTCTTCACAAGATAAAATCACACGCACTCTCTCTCTCCTCTCGCCGGAGTTTCGTCTCGCAACTCCACCGACTTCGTCATCTCCGGTGTCGATTTCGTCACGAACTCTCCTGACTTCGATGAGCAATTAGAATCAGATGTATACAGTAACTTACCTTCTCATAACGATTCTTCAACAGGTTCGTATTCGTAATTTTTACCAACTCTTTGATGATTCTTCCGCTTTAAGTACATCTTACGATTGTACCGTCCTTGAATTCACAGGGATAATGACGAGAAGAAACCGTACCTCGTGTAAATCGAAGCATTCAGAGACAGAACAGCGAAGAAGAAGCAAAATCAATGAAAGGTTGATAAAATTGATTTTGTTATTATTATTTTTTTTTGATGTTTCTAAAAATGGATAGTGAAGAGAAGAAGCTTCTTCCTTAATTGTATGATTGTGGATACAGGTTTCAGAATTTAATGGATATTATACCTCAGAATGATCAGAAACGAGATAAAGCGTCTTTCTTATTGGAGGTAGACGTTGAACATGTATCATGTAACCAAAATGTGTGTTTTTAGTTCTTAGATGTTTATCAAATTTTGCTTTTTTTTTTTCTTACTTGTCTACAGGTTATTGAGTATATTCACTTCTTACAAGAGAAAATTCAGATGTATGAAGGATCTCATCAAATGTGGTATCAAGCCCCAACCAAATTGATTCCATGGGTATATCACTTTCTGTTAAATTGATTGTTTTGTTATATCAGGAAGAAAGATGATTCCGCTTTATTGTTGTTACATAAGATTTTATTTGTGTAACTTTGATGCAGAGAAACAGTCATGGGTCTGTTGCGGAGGTGATTGCCCATTCTCAAATCGATAAAAGCTTTTTAAGTAATGAGAAAGTTGCTCCTCCTTTCGGGTTGCTCTCGGATATGGAAAATTCTGTGGATCGTTATGTTGACTTAGGAGCTAAAACCAAGATTCTTGAACACAGTCCTATTTCAGCAGTTTCATCTTATAAACCAATTGAGCCTCTGCCGCCGTTTGTTCAGCATGATTTTTGGCAACCAAGATCAAGTTGTGGATCAATGAATTGTGAGAAGAATGAATTGTCAAACTCAGATGAAAATACATCAGCCAGCTTGTCCACTGTCTGCTCAGAAAGGTAAGACACATTTAGATGAAAAAAACTTTAGTTTCTTCTGTAATCAATTAAGTTTTGTTTGGAAGAAGTTGTGGGTGAGTTTACAGTCATTGATTGCTTGCCTGTGTAAAACATCTGAATCTCCTTATGCGGATTTTAAGAGAAAAGGATGCGATACAAGGTTCCAATGACTTCTGAGCTATTTGCAGAGGCTTTTGATTTGCCTTGGCTATGAGGTTCTGTAGAATAGAGTTAGAGTGAAATGCATAAATGCTGTGAACTTAGAAATTCTTACAGAAATAGGTTTGGCATAATTATAGTCCAACGTCTCTCTTCGGAATGGTGATACTGTTCCAGTAGGAAGTACAGTGGAGACGTTAAGGCCACGAGAGGATTTAAATAGGTAGGTAGTGTTGCTGTTGGTTATCCGAATCCAAATCCAAATCCTAACTGCTACTGTACTTCAACAGGCTCAGGGTCCTTAAAACGGACAATTGGAGGAATTCAAATGGAAAATGATTTGGTTTTATTTTTGGACAGGGTACGACACACTCTAACTGAAGCACTTAAGTCATCAGGTGTCAATATGTCTGAGACCATGATATCTGTGCAGTTAAGCGTTGGGAAAAGATCAGATCGCGAATATTCTTTCAGTGCTTTTACTTCTGAGGTATGCCTGTAACATTTTTGCATTTGAAAGAGACGAAAAGAAAAAAAAAATCCACTACTATGCAAGTGATTCTTAGATATTTGCCCGTTAATTTGTATTTATATTTTGTTAGGAGAACTGTAATAGCATCGCAGATGAAGAAGGGGATTCTCCTACTGCAACTAGAAGCATCTGCAAAAATTTAGATCATTCCCAGAAGAGGATAAGACGATAAGAGATCTGGTTTTTTTTCTTTCTATTTTCCACTGTTTAATAATTTAGTTACTTTTGGTGAGCTGAGTTCAATTTTTCTGGGGTATCAGTAGGTTTAGATTGGTGTATATAACTGTGATTCGCTACTTCTATCGAGCTGCAACTGTTGTCATTATATATAGTAAAGAAGAGGTGTATCAAGTTTCACAAATCCATAATGAGAGATTGTTCCATTTTGTGGAACTTTTCAAGTATATGGTCTCATATACATGACTTCTTGTCCTTCTATTTCTCGCACTGTTGTGCTCAAACTAGTAATGCGAACTAGTTGGCAAGAAATTTATTTTATGCTTCTGAATTTTTTTTTTTTTGATACAAGGGAGTCCATGTTGTCTTGAGCCTTAAGTTTGATTTGAGCCAGAGTATCTAGATCTATAGATTGAAGAACTGATGCAATTTTCAGTAGAAGTAGAACAATCATCTTTATTCTTCACCCTTATATAAAAATGATTGTCATATACAACAGATAGTGCACCTCTCATCTAAAAGTTTGG